TTTTGATTCGAGTTTCCGCTCGACAGTTCGAAGCAGATTGAGATCCACTCTGAGACGCCCCGGGTCCTCGAATTTTTCCATTTTATAGGATATAGATATAAGCTCCCCGGTCAGAGTTTGCTTGGGCGTTTTTCCTCCGGGGGCATTCTCCGCTGTTCGCGGTGCGACCGCGCGATCGCTGCAGGGATTTTGGTGGATTAGCCTGCAGACCGGGAGTTGGCGCCATGGCGAGCCAGGATGGGCAGCCGGACCGTATCCTTCGTGGCTGCACACAGCCCACCTTGGCGCAGGATTCGCCGGAGCCGGCGGCTGGTCCGCCCGCCGGTGGTGCTTTGGAGGCGGCGGCTGGTCCGCCCGCCGGTGGTGCTTTGGAGGCGGCGGCTGCGCCGCCCGAGACAGGCGAGCGCAAGCGCAGCGTCTGTTGCGGGCTCCTGGCGGCAGCGCCGCAGGCCGGTGCGTGTCAGAGCTGTCGCACGGTCGACAAACAGCGCCAGCGCCACGGCCTCTCGTGGACGGCGGGGTTGTCCTCGGAGGAGAAGCTGGCCTTCTACCAGCACAGCGGCAGCAGAACCCCGACAGCCGCTTGAAGTGGGAGACGGTGGAGGCCGTACAAGGAGACCCTCCGGCGGTTTCAGCGGCGCACAACGCGGTCGAGCCGCGGCGGGCCCTTCCTGCCCATGGAGGTGTGGCTGCGCCGTGGCTTCACAGAAGAACAGGTCAGGAAGGGCAACTATAACGAAGAACATCCCAACTTGGACCCACCTACCAGCTCGAGATACACGACCAAGGTCCTGCCGCATCTCCGGCGTTACGTGCGGAGGCCGCCGCCAAGCGTCTTCCTCGCGCCAAGCCTCCTCCCAGCGGTCCGGCCGCCAAGCACCCTCCCAACCCCGCCAGCCACCCCAGTTGCCGGCGTCGTTCCAGGCGTTGTCCTGCCAGACGCCCCAGCGGCCCTGCCGCTGCCAACCTGCTTCCTGTGCTGTGTCCCACCAGGCCCTGCCGCTGCCAACTCGTGCTCGGCCTCCTCCGCCCAGCGGCCTTGCCGCTGCCAAGCCGGCTCGTGCTCGGCCTCCTCCGCCCAGCGGCCCTGCCGCTGCCAGCTGCCCTCGTCCGCCCAGCGGTCCTGCCGCTCCTCCCAAGCCATGCGCGACGCGTCTCGAATTGCTCTGAACCAACACTTCTGCGCGTGCGCGCGGGTGGTGCCTTTTTGTAATTTCGTATGTTATACGTTTTGCTAATTTTCGTCTTCAAAGTGCGAATTTTCGTCTTCAAAGATCGCACTTTGTCTGGAAAAAATTAAAAAATATCTTTCAGTAACTTCCGGATAACTTCACGAAAAAAATTGAAAATCAATACTCTGAAAAACGCCAGTAAGTTATTAGTAAGTTATATCTTCACTATTACTTTTAAAAAAATCCATTACTTAGTTATCCGGAACTTAAGCAAGCTATAGTGCTCTATAGTGCACTATAGTGAACTTGTACTTCATCTTAACTTATACAACTGCCGGGTCTCACCTTGTACATACTTCAAGGCAACCATAACGAACTATGTCACAGGGTTGTTATTTGAATATGCCAGAGGTCAGCGCCGAGAACTGGGTCAGTGCAAACTTCTACATGCAACCTAGCATTTCTGCCGAAATCATTGCCTTGCATATGTTTTCATACCTTCAGGAACCATTTGACCGTTCCCCAACACTGTTCAGCAGCCTGAAGTGACAATGAATGTGTGCACGCTTCGTGTGTCCTTGTTGTTTTGCTCCGTCACCCAGCCATGTTATGTGCGTCTGACTCATTGGTTGCAGAACTACATCATTCTCCCATGCCCTGCCCTATTCGCCCATGCCCTTGATCATGCTTTTGCACGGTCTATGCCATTATGAAACGTTGGATTGCCGACGCGCCCTGTGATACACGGAGGCCAAGCATTGTTCTATGGCAAGAAACAGAGCCCGGTGTTTGCAACGTTCCTGTGTCTTTCAAGCCTGGAATATCAATGTATATAATTACAGCATTTGTTTCAATCTTCGCACTCTCCAGCTCCGCAGATCCACAGCATTTTGTACCGTGCTCCCTTTCTAACAATCTGCAGGAATGGTTCAGGGTCCTTCAGCATGGAAATTGTGACCACGTCAGATCCTGGCGTGGATATCCGTGATTTTCCATTGCCACGAGTTGCAGAGCCGGAGCCCAACCGAAGGTGGGAAGTGTTGGTTTCTGAATCTTGTGATGTTGGAAAGATGTTGACATTTTTTCAATTCATGTTGACAATTTCATTTGGATCTTCACCCTGTCTTTGCAAAGCAGATGAGCCTGTCCTTCGCTGGTTCAGTGGATTGGTGGTTTCATGAGGTTTCAGTGTTTTTGAAAGAGTTGCTTTCCTTCCACTTCAGCATGTTGCTTTGCTTCAGGGGATCATCACCTCCTTCATCACCACCACAAGCTTGTGTGCACGTCTACTTGCGGCAGGCGGCAAAGAAGGAATGACATGATGTGAGTTGGGTTGAGCACGCCATAGGCGACAAAGATTAGGTTCGCTTCAGAATGTTGATGTTTTCAGCATTAGGAGCGTTTCAATCATGGGCCATCCAATTTCTCCCCAAACAGTTTACTGTTGGGGTTCTCAATGCTTGTAAGTGTGTCCGCCTTGTGTGGACTGCTGTGTCCGCCTCGCGGTGCCGACCTCTGGCTTGCAATCCTTTACATTTGTTTCCCAGCTCAGTGGCTCAAAGTCAAGAGGAGAAACCGGCAGTGACCAGTGACAAGGCTCCTGTGTCTGATACTTGTGTCTGTAGTGGAACGTGGTGCTTTTTCAAGACTTTTTTTCCCCAAACAGTTTACTGTTAGGGGTTCTCAATTCTTTCTTAAGATGTGTCCGCCCTTTGTGTCACTGCTGGTGTTCGCCCTTTCCCGCTGGCCATGTAGCATTTCTATTCATTTGTCTCCCAGGTCTGTCACTCCTGGTGTCCGCCCTTTTCCGCTGGCCATGTAGCATTTCTATTCATTTGTCTCCCAGGTCTGTCACTGCTGTGTCCGCCCTTTTCCGCTGGCCATGTAGCATTTCTATTCGTTTGTCTCGCAGGTCTGTCACTGCTGGTGTCCGCCCTTTTCCGCTGGCCATATAGCATTTCTATTCATTTGTCTCCCAGGTCTGTCACTGCTGGTGTCCGCCCTTTTCCGCTGGCCATGTAGCATTTCTATTCGTTTGTCTCCCAGGTCTGTCACTGCTGGTGTCCGCCCTTTTCCCATGTGGTGTTTGCCCTTTTCCGCTGGCCATGTAGCATTTCTATTCATTTGTCTCCCAGGTCTGTCACTGCTGGTGTCCGCCCTTTTCCGCTGGCGATGCAACATTTCTATTCATTCCCCAAGCAGTTTGTCGTTACGTAGGGTTTCTCACTTCTTTCTTAAGATGTGTCCGCCCTTTCTGTCACTGCTGGTGTCCGCCCATATCTGCTGGCCATGCGGCATTCAATTCAATTGTCTTTAAAATGCTTTCTTTACTTATGTCTCCCAGGTTCAGTGCCTGCACTGCTGGTGTCCGCCCTTTTCCGCTGGCCATGCAGCATTTCTATTCGTTTGTCTCCCAGGTCTGTCACTGCTGGCGTCCGCCCTTTTCCACTGGCCATGTCTGCTGGTGTCCGCCCTTTTGCGCTGGCCATGTAGCATTTCTATTCATTTGTCTCCCAGGTCTGTCCCTGCTGGTGTCCGCCCTTTTCCGCGGGCCATTCATTTGTCTCCCAGGTTTTTCACTGCTGGTGTCCGCCTTTTTCCGCTAGCCATGTAGCATTTCTATTCATTTGTCTCCCGGGTTTGTCGCTGCTTGTGTCCGCCCTTTTCCGCTGGCCATGTAGCATTTCTATTCATTCCCAACTGTTTTGTGTCCGCCCTTTTCCGCTGGCCATGTAGCATGTCTACTCTTGTGGGATACGGTTGCGGGACACTCTTGTGGGACACTCTTGTGGGACACTCTTACGGGACACCCTTGTAGGACACTCTTGTGGGGCACTCTTGTGGGACACTCTTACGGGACACTCATGTAGGACACTCTTGTGGGTCACTCTTATGGGACACTCTTGTCGGACACTCTTGTGGGACACACTTGTGAGTCACTCTTGTGGGATGCTCGGGACACTCTTGTGAGACGCTCTTGTGGGACACTGTTGCGGGACACTCTTGTGGGACACTCTTGTGGGACACTCTTGTGAGACACTCTTGTGGGACACTCTTGTGGGACACTCATACGGGACACTCTTGTGGGACACTCTAGTGGGACACTCTTGTAGGACACTTGTGGGATACTCTTGTAGGACACTCTTGTGGGACACTCTTATTGTAGGGCACTCTGTTGGGGGACTCTTGTGGGGCACTCTTGTAGGAAACTCTTGTGGGGCACTCTTGTAGGAAACTCTTGTGGGACACTCTTGTAGGACACTCTTGTGGCACACTCTTATAGGAAGGGACACTCTTGTGAGACACTCTTGTGGGACACACATACGGGACACTCTTGTGGGACACTCTTCTGGGACACTCATACGGGACACTCTTGTGGGACACTCTTGTAGGACACTCTTGCGGGACACTCTTGTAGGAAACTTCTGTGGGATACTTTTGTAGGACACTCTTGTGGGACACTCTTGTGTGACACTCTTGTAGGAAACTCTTGTGGGACACTCTTGTGGGACACTCTTGTGGGGCACTCTTATAGGACACTCTTGTGGGACAATTTTGCGGGACGCTCTTGTAGGACACTCTTGTAGGACACTCTTGTGGGTCACTCTTGTAGGAAACTCTTACGGGACACTCTTGTAGCGCACTCTTGTAGGACACTCTTGTGGGACACACTTGTGAGACACTCTTGTGGGACACTCTCGTGGGACACTCGTACGGGACACTCTTGTGGGACACTCTTGTACACTTTTGTGGGACACTCTTGTGGGACACTCTTGTGGGACACTCTTGTGGGACACTCTTGTAGGAAACTCTTGTGGGACACTCTTGTAGGACACTCTTGTGGGACACTCTTGTAGGACACTCTGATAGAATTATTGTTGGACAAATTTGGACAAGAGAAGAGAGATGGCTGGCGGGTGTCTTGTTTTGCCTCCGATGCAGGCCTTCTTTTCTCCTTCCTCCCTCCACAAGCTCCTGTCGCACGCTCCCCTTCCAGGCTCTTCTCCTTCACTCTTGCCTTTTCACAGTTCACAGGCTCCGTTTTGGTCTCCTCTCCATTCCCTTTTTCTCAAGCTCCTCTCTCAGGCTCCGCTCTAGGCTTCTCTCCCTTCCTACGCTCCTCCTCACCTCCAATCTCTCTAACTCCTTTCCAACCTCCTCGCCTAGGTTCATTTGTCTCCCAGGTCTGTCACTGCTGGTGTCCGCCCTTTTCCGCTGGCCATGTAGCATTTCTATTCATTTGTCTCCCAGGTCTGTCACTGCTGGTGTCCGCCCTTTTCCGCTGGCTATGTGGCATTTCTATTCATTTGTCTCCCAGGTCTGTCCATGTAGCATTTCTATTCATTTTGTCTCCCAGGTCTGTCACTGTCATTTCTATGCATTTGTCTCCCAGGTCTGTCGCTGCTGGTGTCCGCCCTTTTCCGCTGGCCATGTAGCATTTCTATTCATTTGTCTCGCAGGTCTGTCCTGCTGGTGTCCGCCCTTTTCCGCTGAAAATGCATTTGTCTGCCAGCCCTGTCACTGCTAGTATCCGCCATTGTCTCCCAGGTCTGTCTGCTGCTGGTGTCCGCTGTCACTGGTGTCCGCCCTTTTCCGCTGCTGGTGTCAGCTCTTTTCTGTTGGCCATGTAGCATGTCTATTCATTTGTCTCCCCAGGTCTGTCACTGCTGATGTCTGCCCTTTTCCGCTGGCGACGCAACATTTCTATTCATTTGTCTCCCAGGTCTAGGTCTGTCATTTGTCTCCCAGGTCTGTCGCTGCTGGTGTCCGCCCTTTTCCATTGGCCATGTAGCATTTCTGTTCATTTGTCTCCGAGATGTGTCACTGCTGGTGTCCGCCCTTTTCCGCTGGCGATGCAACATTTCTATTCATTCCCCAAGCAGTTTGCCGTTACGTAGGGTTTCTCACTTCTTTCTTAAGATGTGTCCGGCCTTTCTGTCAGCGCTGGTGTCCGCCCATTTCTGCTGGCCATGCATTCAATTCGTTTGTCCTTAAAATGATTTCTTTACTTGTGTCTCCCAGGTTCGGTGCCTGCACTGCTGGCATCCGCCCTTTTCCCCTTCCCAGCATTTGTATTCAATTGGCCAACAGGTGATTTCTGTACTTCCCCAAACAGGCTACTGTTAGGGGTTCTAAATGCTTTCTAAGAGTCTCCGCCTTGGTGCCGGACAGCGTGTCCGCCTTCCGTCCGGCTTGTCTCCCTTGGTCTCCCTTCTTGTTGGTCACTGTATTCCCCTTCTTGTTGGTCACTGTGTTCCCCTTCTTGTTGGTCACTGTGTCCGCTGGTCTCCCTTCTGTTTCATTTTGTCTCCCTTCTTGTCTCCCTTCTTGTTGGTCACCGTGTCCGCCTTGTTTCATTCTTTCTTTGTCTCTGGTCTTGTCTCCCTTCTTGTGGGTCATTGTGTCCGTCTTGTCTCCCTGCTGTTTCCTTTTGTCTCCCTTCTTGTCTCCCTTCTTGTTCATCATTCTGTCCGTCTTGTCTCCCTTCTGTTATTTCCTTCTGTTTCTTTTTGTCTCTGGTCTTGTCCCCCTTTGTCTCCGGTCTTGTCTCCCTTCTTGTTAGTCATTGTGTCAGTCTTGTCTCCCTTTCTTCTCCCTTGTTGTCTCCCTTCTTGTTGGTCATTGTGTCCGCCTTGTCTCCCTTCTGTCTCCCTTTCTCTCCGGTCTTGTCTCCCTTCTTGTTGGGCACTGTGTCCGTCTTGTCTCCCTTCTGTTTCCTTTTGTCTCCCTTCTTGTTTCCCTTGTTGTCCCCCTTCTTGTTGGTCATTGTGTCCGCCTTGTCTTCCTTCTTTCCTCTACATTTGCCTCCTTTCTCTCTCGCTTGCAACCCTTCACATTTGTCTCCCAGCTGCTCTGCCCTGCAATATTACATTTGTCTCCCAGCTCTGGGCTGCGCGTCGCTTGCAATCCTTTACATTGTCATTTGTCTCCCGTGTCTCCCAGCTCTGGACTGCTGTCCGCCTCTGCCTTGCAATCCTTTACATTTGTCTCCCAGCTCTGGGCTGCTGTGTCCGCCTCTGCCTTGCAATCCTTTACATTTGTGTCGCAGTGCTGGGCTGCTGTGTCCGCCTCTGTCTTGCAATCCTCAATTTCACATTTGTCTCCCACCTCTGACTGCTGTGTCCGCCTCTGCCTTGCAATCCTTTACATGTGTCCTCGCAAACCCTTGCATTTGTCTCCCAGCTCTAGACTGCTGTATCCGCCTCTGCCTTGCAATCCTTTATTTGTCACCCAGCTCTGGGCTGCATGTCGCTTGCAATCCTTTACAGTTGTCTCCCTGTGTCTACATTTGTCTCCCAGCTCTGGACTGCTGTGGCCGCCTCTGCCTTGCAATCCTTTGTCTCCCAGCTCTGGACGTCGCAAACTCTAGTTGCAGAGTGTTCCGATATTGAAAAACACAAACTGTTTTGGGGTCTACGGTGGTGTCATTTTCCCCAAACAGTCTACTGGTGGGGTTCTCAATTCTTTCTGAAGATGTGTCCGCCCTTTGTGTCAATGGTGGTGTCCGCCCTTTTACGTTGGCCATGTAGCATTTCTATGCATTTGTCTCCCAGGTCTGTCACTGCTGGTGTCCGCCCTTTTCCGTTGGCCATGTAGCATTTCTACGCATTTGTCTCCCAGGTCCGTCACTGCTCGTATCCGCCCTTTTCCGCTGGCCATGTTGCATTTCTATTCATTTGTCTCCCAGGTCTGTCACTGCTGGTGTCCGCCCTTTTCCGATGTAGCATTTCTATGCATTTGTCTCCCAAATCTGTCACTGCTGGTGTCCGCCCTTTTCCGTTGGCCATGTAGCATTTCTATGCATATGTCTCCCAGGTCCGTCACTGCTGGTATCCGCCCTTTTCCGCTGGCCATGTTGCATTTCTATTCATTTGTCTCC